TGGTCTTTAGAGATAAAATTGGCTATTTATTCACCGACGACCAACAAGTTGCACAGAGCGTTACTGATCTCTCTCTCCTGCTCGCATTTTCCGTGTTGCTAGCCAGCATTTTTCCAGTGCTCTCGGGTTAGTTTGATTATCTTTTATATTTATTTTTCATTTGATATTGTTCGTTTTTGGTTCGAATTTGACATGATAAATATTTTTCTCTTTTCAGGCGTGGCCGTGGGAGCAGGTCTTCAGACAAAAGCCGCGGTTATCAATTTAGTTTGCTTTTATTTGGTCGGGCTCCCGGTTGGAGTCGTGCTTGGATATGTTGTACATCTTCAAGTTGTGGTAATTAATGCATTTTTCTATTTTCTATTCCCCATTTATATGTACTTGTCGAAAAAAAAAAAAGAAAGAAAGAAATCGTTACATTTTGCATAAAAGTAAAATGATGAGCTGAATTTTCGAATAAAAAGATGATTTGTGTGATTAATTTAATTGGTATATCTGAGTTCACAGGGCATATGGATTGGTCTGACCTTAGGCGTAACGACTCAGTCACTCGTACTCGCTTTCTTGATATGGAGAACAAACTGGGATGAAGAGGTAAAAGGGCAAACTAAATAAGAGAAATAATTCACCAACAATTCTCAAGTTAATTGACTTATTTATCGATCGGTTTACATATTTGTTAATGATGCTTTATGTTTTGCAGGTCTTGAAAACTTCGGCACGTCTGAAAAGATGGGACCTGAAATCATCGGCCGAGGATAAACAGTGTACTTCAAATGATGCTTGAAAAGTATAGTAAAAAATTAATGCTCTGCTCCAGATTCAATCTTGACAATGAAAAGCCAGTTCTTTCATTTGTACTAATATTGGTTTTTGGTTTTTGTTTGAAGAAAAATCTAAGCTGCATTTTGTTTTCTCTTTAAGTTTATTTATAGAGAATCTTTTCTTTAATATATGGATTTTATCATTTCATTTAAAAGTAGGTGTCACTTCAAATAAAGTTAATAATACTG